GGGGACAAGGGCCTCTTCCCCACAACCATGGCTGGTGGTTGTGGGGGTCTGCGGGCGAGAGGCTTATCAGAATCTGAAAGCCCTCTTTAACAAGGGGGACCCCAGATCCCAGTCCCCAAAAAAGTATAGTGTAAAAATGACAGGAGACATTCTTTGACAAGTCCCAGGTAACCCTGACGACCATCTTGGCTCAATCAGAGTCTTTTTAAGTCCCTGCCCCTGGGTTTTAGGTCACTTGAAGTGAGTGGATAGTGTAAGGACAAGTCACCCATCTGTCACAGACAGCACTAGCAGTAGGGAAAGGTTCAGGTGAAGTACAGAATAAGTAGGGGGTAGGTCTACTTTCTCAGGAAGTTTCCCATTTGGGTTGGACTGGCCAGGCCACACTCCGCTGCTCCTATCAGATGCTGTCAGCAGCTCGGAAGCTACTCTCCACTGTCTCTGCTCTAAACTGTTGTATGTGTCCTGGCAGGATAAGCCTCGACGGTAGGCCTACTTGTACCATGTACTATTTCTAAAATACACTACTTTTGGTAACTCTGTTGATCTCTGTAGGGCTGTATACCAGCGCATGGTAGGCCCCTAACAGGTTTCTAAGCTTAGAAGCATAGAAAGTCCAGCAGCATCTTCTCAGGCCTAAGCCTGAGACAAGAGCTAGCACATGGCCTCTCTAAGTATTTATACGCTCCCCCATCATGCCTCAGTGGCTTGAACCTCCTACTGGGATGGCTGGGGGAAATATGAATATTCATAACTCAGCCTGGCATGGAAACCTCATGCTATAGCCAGGGGACCGGGGAATAATAATAATATAATAATAATAATAATAATGTCTACTCGCAACAGTGAGAGATCACCCCACTGAGCTTCGGTAGAATCAAATCAAGTCGCTACCTATCTAGGAGGGTGCTACACTAGTTCATTTACACATTGTTTCTATATGTTAAAGTTAGGTTAGACAATAAAAGAAGAAAATGTTTTGTGTAAAAGAGGTGATCCCAGCAGAGTAGGGTTGGTTAGGGCGTCAAAGATTGTGTGCCTACAGGTTTTTATTTATATAAATTTGGCACTGGAATTTTGAATCCTTTTCCATGTTTTAAAATGGTAGTAAACCACAGGAAAGAAAAAAAGAAAAAAAAAAAAGCTCCCTGCAAGGCAATGTTATAATGTGCTAGTATGCATCACATACTAGCACCAGTTCTACAATAGACTCCAAAAACAAACATCCCCTAGCCTGGTCATTAAAGATAACAAGCGGAAGAGTGTGTGTTTATTTGGCTGAAGAAATACACTGTGCCTGGCTGCGGGGCAACAAACAAGAAGCTACAGTGGGGGTAGTGCTACACATGTTTAGGAGATATTCATTTTACCAAAAGGTAAGCTTTATTACAAGTTTACCTGTCAGTAAAACTAAAAAGAAAAACAAGTTTACTACCACTTTAAAGGTGAGTGTAAACCAAATACAGGCTCCACTAATTTTTTAGACTTCCACTTTTCCAATTTCTCCATATTGCCTGCATCCATAGTGATCTTACTTAAATCTTTGTTTAAAGATAATGTAAATACTTGAAAATCTATAGGGGGGGGGGGTTACTAGCTATGTATGGTAGCCAATCAGCTTGTAACTTCAATTAGGTTTTGACAATAAAACCTGCAAGCTGATTGTTTTCTCTATGCAGAGTTGCACCAGATTTTGCACTCTCCAGTTTTAGTAAATAACCTCTATTGATGGGTGAGAACTGCAACATAGCAACCAGCTACACACTGTGCAGATTGAGGCTGTGTCTGTAAGTTTAACTGATCACAGCTATGTGCTGTGTGGGGAGGAGGAGCTCTGCTGCCTGTTTCCAGGCTGTGCGCAGTGCAGGGATGGGAGGAGGAGGTCAGCTCAGCTTCCAAGGGGGTATGCAACTGAAAATTTTGGGGAGCAACTAAAATCTGGGGGATGCAGCCCACCCCCGCACCCCTTTAGATCCAGCCAGATTAAAATGAACATCAGTTTGACCCTACTAACAATTAGAAAGTCGAACAAACATTTTAAAGATTAAAACATTTGAATGAAATTATACTAGTCTATGGTCAGCTTTAACCACTTGAAATCCAGAGGATTTACCCCCCTTAACCTCCCTAGCGGTATTCCCGAGTGTAGCTCGGGGTAAAATGTCTGTACCAAAAGCGGTAACCCCGAGCTACACTCGGGCTTACCATGCAGTGCTGTATAGGGAGTCCCTGCAGGGCTTTCCTTGTCCTTCGCTCCCCCGAATGTGTCCCCTGCAGCGTCCCCGGCCATCTCCTCCGGTTGATGCCGGCATCCGGCTCCTGTGTTCCGGTCCCTGTGACTTTGGGACGTACGGGCGCCGGCGGGAAATTTGAAAATTTAAAAAAAAATTTCATTTTTTTCAAAATGATTTTACATGGTAAAACATTGCTGTTTCAAACCATTTCACATACATTTTGTCCCTAGTGCTTTGTCCTGTCCCCTGTCTGCATTTTGATTGTTCTTTCTGCCTGGAAACTTAGAAAAGTCCACGGCGTCCAAAAAGTGTCCCTTTAGGTCAAAAGCGGGTTTAGATCAGCTAGAGAACAGCGACAGTAAATCTGGACCACTTGCAGAACTGAGTGATAATGATTCGTGGGGAAATTCGTCATCAGACACTGAAAACGATTTTGCGACTTTGCTCAGCGATGTGCGAACTTGGCGTTATATTTCAAATTTCAGTGTTTTTGGTTTGATTATATTATTGAATTAAATTTATTATTATTATTATATTATTATTTTTTATGATTATTTATTAAATTATAATTTATGAATTTTAACATACCCGGGATGTTTACTAGACTCTTGTTCGGACAGATTTCAGTGAGTTATTCCTAAAAATGACAGGCCTGCAATAAAAAAATGACATATTTCTGTGCAAAAAACGTACCGCTTTGAGCACAGAAACACTGACATAATCAGACCGCTAGGGAGGCTAAGACTTAGATGTTTGGTAAGGCAAGAAACAAACAGCAGACAAAAAAGAATGCTAGTTAAAGAAAAATCAACTTCAGAAAGAAACAGATGTGCAGTAAGAAGTAGCCAGCTTGCTCAGTATAACTAGGCTGATAAACAGGTCAGCAGGATGGCCAGAGAAGTAGCAATGAGCTTGTAAAGGAACAGGATATCATGATGTAGCACCCTCCTAGGTAGGTGCCAGGATTATATAGATAGGATTAGTTATGTTTTGGATAGGTAAATTTAGTTATCACTCTGTAGGCAGAGTGACTGTAAATATTTCTAGGTAAAAGTATAGTTATCTCACTGTTTTGGATGAGCTGTGGTCATTTAGTGAGGTCTGCTCTGTGTGCACAGGTGCTGATAGTCTGCCTAGCGTCCTTTGTATCTAGGAAACTGCAGAAGTTTCTGGATGATGGGTGTGGAGTTATGCAGATAGCAGAATGAATATTGATACAGCCTCAGCCTATCACAGAGAGAGGAGCTCTAAGGCATGCTGGGTAACTGTATATATTCAGTGAGCACACGGGGCTCTGGGTCTTTCCTGGCTAAGATTGCCCAAGGGGGCAGTCTCCACATGAACAATAAAAACAAGTATTACAATGTAAACATCCCGCACTGATTAGGCAAGCACTTAATCACATTATCCTAAACAGTGCAAGCGGTAAACAGTACAGCTAACAGTGATTTAAATAATAGTAAGCTAATCAACGAACAAGCACCCAGACAAGCCAGGGTCCCACCCCATACAACCTGGCACCTCCAACCCTGAATACACAAAGTACAATACACATGATATCTTTCAGGTTTTTTCTTTCACTTGTATAATCTGTCCATCATAAAAAAAAAAAAACCTTATGCAATATTCCAACAGTCTGAGAAAGTGGAACTAATTAATCTTCATAGATTTCTTGAGGGAGATTGTTGCTAAATATTTCTGTCCCAAGTGGGAGAGCATCTTCAACTCAGTCTGCAAGAGGGCCCCGCATTTTCTCTGACCATTAGACTGTACCAGGTTAATATTACACCTTTCCATCCACTCCAGAAGGGAAGCTGTATTGTCTTTATTCAGAGATTTTAATCCAAGCCTCATTCTCAGCATTCATCCCATTGTTGTCCATCATTAGAGAATGATCTGCTCTCTCCATGGACCATAATCAGTGTGTAGAAGGCTAGCCCCTAGTCCGCTCCAAAAGTCCCTGTCCTGGTTGGGTCTGTCACAGCACATTGCACTCCCAGACAGCTGCTGCTCTACCTGAGGGCCTGAATTGCTGAGACCCGGGTTCTGCTATGCTGACTGAGGGGCTGTCTTCTGAAGATCTGGTCTGGTATCATGGAGTAATGCGTCCTGCTGTTCGTTGGCCTTGTGAGTATAGACATCCCTAAGGATCTTAGAGACTGTGTGCTGTTTAACCCCCTCTGGTGCTAGGAAGTCAACTGCGGGTCTAGCAAAGGGAATACCGGCTTTGTCCATCTGTCCACTACTACTTAAATGGACACTGCTTTGGGGCTCTACAGAAGTACTGCTGTTACTGCTACTACTTGTTGCTACTGCCTTAAGCTAAAGTCTACTGTTTGATTCCAGCACCGACTTGAATATAGCTTGCCCTGTACAGTATATAGCTTGTACTGTATATACACTATATTGCCAAAAGTATTGGGACGCCTGTCTTTACAACACGCTGCTTCAACTCTTCTGGGAAGGCTGTCCACAAGATTTAGGAGTGTGTCTATGGGAATGTTTGACCATTCTTCCAGAAGCACATTTGTGAGGTCAGGTACTGATGTCAGACAAGAAGGCCTGGCTCGCAGCCTATGCTGTAATTCATCCCAAATGTGTTCTATCGGGTTGAGGTCAGGACTCTGTGCAGGCCAGTCAAGTTCCTCCAACCCAAACTCGCTCATCTATGTCTTTGTCTATGTCTCCACTGCTCTAGAGTCCAATGGCGGCATGCTTTACAGCACTGCATCCAATACTTGGTGCATTACACTTGGTGATGTAGGGCTTGGATGCAGCTGCTCGGCCATGGAAACCCATTCCATGAAGCTCTCTATGCACTGTTGTTGTGCTAATCTGAAGGCCACATGCAATTTGGAAGTCTTTAGCTATTGACTCTGCAGACAGTTGGTGACTTCTGCTCGCTGTGTGCTTCAGCATGCTCTGACCCTGCTCTGTCATTTTACGTGGCCTACCACTTCATGGCTGAGTTGCTGTTGTTCCCAGTTGCTTCCACTTTGTTATAATACTACTAACAGTTGACCGTGGAATATTTAGCAGCAAGGAAATTTCACAGATGGACTTATTGCAGCTATCACGGTAGCACGCTTGAATTCACTGAGCTCCTGAAAGTGACCTATTCTTTCACAAATGTTTGTAGAATCAGTCTGCATGACAAGGTGCTCGATTTTATACACTTCTGTCCATGGAGATGCTTGGAACACCTGAATCCAATGATTTGGAGGCATGTCCCAATACTTTTGGTAATATAGTGTGTGTGTATATATATATATAAATATATATATATATATATACACACAGTTGTGTTCAAAATAATAGCAGTCAGACATCACTAACCTGATCAATCACTGTTTTTGGTAGAAATGATACTTCTACATGGCAAATAATTTACTAGCAGGTGTAGTAGAGTAATACAAATCCAACAGATCCAACAGTCATGACATGCATGCTGCTGATTCTGTGTAATTGAATCACTAATTAAAAGGGGCATGTTCAAAATAATAGCAGTGTGGAGTTCTATTAGTGAGGTCATTCATTCTTTGAAAAACAGGTGGCAATTTTTGCCCTTATTTAAGGAAGGAAGGCAGAAAATGTTGTACATGCTGGTTACAGTGCATTTCTCTCTGAAATTCTGAGGAAAATGGGTCGTTCCAGACATTGTTCAGAGGAAAATGGGTCGTTCCAGACATTGTTCAGAAGTACAGCGTACCTTGATTAAAAAGTTGATTGGAGAGGGGAAAACATATAAAGAAGTGCAGAAAATGATAGGCTGCTCAGCTAAAATGATCGCAAATGCTTTAAAATGGCAACCAAAACCTGAAAGACGTGGAAAAAAGTGAAAAACTACTATTCGAATGGATAGAAGAATAGCCAAAATGGCAAGGACTCAGCCAACAATCAGCTCCAGGAAGATGAAAGAAGGTGTAAAGTTACCCATGAGTACTGTTACAATTAGAAGACGCCTATGTGAAGCCAAGCTATCTGCAAGAAGCCCCCGCAAAGTCCCACTGTTGGGAAAAAAGACATGTGCTGAAGAGGTTACAATTTGCCAAAGAGCACATTGACTGGCCTAAAGAGAAATGACGCAACATTTTGTGGACTGATGAAAGTAAGATTGTTCTTTTTGGGTCTAGTGGCCGGAGACAGTTTGTCAGACGACCCCAAAACACTGAATTCAAGCCACAGTACACTGTGAAGACAGTGAAGCATGGGTGCGCAAGCATCATGATATGGGGATGTTTCTAATACTACGGTGTTGGGCCTATTTATCGCATACCAGGGATCATGGATCAGTTTGAATACATCAGAATACTTGAAGAGGTCATGCTGCCTTATGCTGAAGAGGAAATGCCCTTGAAATGGGTGTTCCAACAAGACAACGACCCCAAACACACCAGTAAACGTGCAACATCTTGGTTCCAGACCAACAAGATTGACGTTATGGAGTGGCCAGCCCAATCCCCGGATCTTAATCCAATAGAAAACTTGTGGGGTGACATCAAAAATGCAGTTTCTGAGGCAAAACCAAGAAATAGAGAAGAACTGTGGAATGTAGTCCAATCATCCTGGGCTGGCATACCTGTTCACAGGTGCCAGAAGTTGGTTGACTCCATGCAACACAGATGTACAGCAGTTCTCAGAAACAGTGCTAATACAACTAAACATTAAGTGATTCAAAGGAAAGCAAAATCTTCAAACATTTTTCAGTTTATATAGTGAATGTTTGAGTTTGTAAAGAAGAATACAAACACTGCTATTTTTTTGAACAGTCTAATATTCACTTTTCTTCAATTTATTTAGTGGAACAACACAAATTTGAAATATTTTTCTTCGTGTTTTGATTTGGAATAGAATGTGTAGTGTTCCCAATGCATTTGTGTGTATGGAAATAAAAGCTATTAGAAGGATTTTCAGCTTTATTCACTTTTATCAACACACTGCTATTATTTTGAACACAACTGTATATATATATACAGTCAGGTCCATAAATATTGGGACATCGACACAATTCTAACATTTTTGGCTCTATACACCACCACAATGGATTTGAAATGAAACGAGCAAGATGTGCTTTAACTGCAGACTGTCAGCTTTAATTTGAGGGTATTTACATTCAAATCAGGTGAACGGTGTAGGAATTACAACAGTTTGCATATGTGCCTCCCACTTATTAAGGGACCAAAAGTAATGGGACAATTGGCTTCTCAGCCGTTCCATGGCCAGGTGTGTGTTATTTTCTCATTATCCCAATTACAATGAGCAGATAAAAGGTCCAGAGTTCATTTCAAGTGTGCTATTTGCATTTGGAATCTGTTGCTGTCAACTCTCAAGATGAGATCCAAAGAGCTGTCACTATCAGTGAAGCAAGCCATCATTAGGCTCAAAAAACAAAACAAACCCATCAGAGAGATAGCAAAAACATTAGGCGTGGCCAAAACAACTGTTTGGAACATTCTTAAAAAGAAGGAACGCACCGGTGAGCTCAGCAACACCAAAAGACCCGGAAGACCACGGAAAACAACTGTGGTGGAAGACCGAAGAATTCTTTCCCTGGTGAAGAAAACACCTTTCACAACAGTTGGCCAGATCAAGAACACTCTCCAGGAGGTAGGTGTATGTGTGTCAAAGTCAATAATCAAGAGAAGACTTCACCAGAGTGAATACAGAAGGTTCACCACAAGATGTAAACCATTGGTAAGCCTCCAAAACAGGAAGGCCAGATTAGAGTTTGCCAAACGACATCTAAAAAAGCCTTCAAAGTTCTGGAACAACATCCTATGGACAGATGTGACCAAGATCAACTTGTACCAGAGTGATGGGAAGGGAAGAGTATGGAGAAGGAAAGGAACTGCTCATGATCCTAAGCATACCACCTCATCAGTGAAGCATGGTGGTGGTAGTGTCATGGCGTGGGCATGTATGGCTGCCAATGGAACTGGTTCTCTTGTATTTATTGATGATGTGACTGCTGACAAAAGCAGCAGGATGAATTCTGAAGTGTTTCGGGCAATATTATCTGCTCATATTCAGCCAAATGCTTCAGAACTCATTGGACGCCGCTTCACAGTGCAGATGGACAATGACCCAAAGCAGACTGCAAAAGCAACCAAAGAGTTTTTTAAGGGAAAGAAGTGGAATGTTATGCAATGGCCAAGTCAATCACCTGACCTGAATCCGATTGAGCATGCATTTCACTTGCTGAAGATGAAACTGAAGGGAAAATGCCCCAAGAACAAGCAGGAACTAAAGACAGTTGCAGTAGAGGCCTGGCAGAGCATCACCAGGGATGAAACCCAGCGTCTGGTGATGTCTATGCGTTCTAGACTTCAGGCTGTAATTGACTGCAAAGGATTTGCAACCAAGTATTAAAAAGTGAAAGTTTGATTTATGATTATTATTCTGTCCCATTACTTTTGGTTCCTTAATAAGTGGGAGGCACATATGCAAACTGTTGTAATTCCTACACCGTTCACCTGATTTGGATGTAAATACCCTCAAATTAAAGCTGACAGTCTGCAGTTAAAGCACATCTTGTTCGTTTCATTTCAAATCTATTGTGGTGGTGTATAGGGCCAAAAATGTTAGAATAGTGTCGATGTCCCAATATTTATGGACCTGACTGTATATATATATATATATATATATATATATATATATACTGGATTTTTTTTTTTTGTTACTAGTAATGGCGGCGATTAGCGGGGCTGCGATGTTGGGGCGGATAGTCTGACACCAACTGACACTTTTTTGGGAAACAGTGACACTTACACAGTGATCAGTGCTAAAAATATATTTTAATGACACTGGCTGGGAAGGTATTAAACATCTATGGTGATCAAAGGGTTAACTGTGTGCCTAGCTATGTGTTTTGTTTACTGTACACAGTAATGTGTTTTCACTAGGCAATCTGTAGATTGCTGCTAGCAGATTGCAGCTGACAGAACACAGCTCTGCTTTGTTTACATAGGCAGAGCTGTGTGCTGTCAGTGTCCTGGACAATCAACGAGTGGCGGCACTCATCCATTGGCTGGCACCTTTTGATCTGCTTCTGCTATGTCCAGTCACAGTAGAAGCAGCACTCCGGTGGCGCGTATGCACCCCCTACAGCGGAAGTGCAAAATCACATTTATTAACTAAACATGATTTTGCACAGAAGTTCGCCCTGTAGCAGTAAATCTTCTATAGGGCAGACAGAAAGTAGTTATTGGAGAATTGTGTGAATGAGCCTTTGTGTCTGGCTGCAGGGCATGGTAAATGAGGAGGACCTGGACAGCATTCCTGTGGCTCCTACAGGAGAAACACTACAATAACATAAGAGGATATCATATGTTATGTCAATTGAGACTGCTACAAGTAGGTAGCACATACTAAGATGCTATACTAAAAGATTTGTGATTTACCCACTATGCTGTTTGTGTGTTTGGCACAAAGGACTTTCCAAAACCTATGAGCCTCCAGTTAATGCTAACCATAGCTCATTTAGAGGAACTGTACCTCTTTTGGAACCAAATCCCTTTGTCCCTCTTTCCTTCTTGTCTTTTTGTTCTGATACATAGACTTCAATGCACTAAAAAAATTCACTATTTAAATAAAAGTGTTTTACCACACTAAACCTATCATTTGATCTTTACATTATTGCATTTTTTTATTTTATAAAGCCAGTATAGGAAAAAACAAGTGGTGAAAAAATGATTTTGTTAGCATTCATGTTTCATGTTCTATGTAACTGGGTGTGGAAAGGGTTTGTCCACTGCCTATAAAAGGTATCTCTCTTTTTCATCTCGGAACTTTATGCTTTAGGTATGCTTTAGGCAGCTAGTGCCATTCGCCACACTGTAGATCCCATTCAGGAGTGTTTCAACCTGTTAGTCTGTAGCATGCCTCCAATCCCACCCTCCAGCAGGTTAATCTAAGGACCTGCGAGGACTTCTCTAGAACATTCCAGACATAGAAGAGTCAAAGACATAGAACCAATGTTTGATGATGCATTTTCCATGTTGGTATACTCCACAGTAGAACACCAAATCTCCAGAAGCCTCTCTAATCCAGGTAGCTCCAAGCACTGTACAAGGGTAGACATTCCACCTGGCCAGTGGGATACTGTAGCCATGATTGGTTCCTGCCTAAGATAATAATTAAGTCCATTATAATG